TATTTCATTTTTTATTTTAAGAAAAGATGCGTCACTCTTGAAAATCTACCTGTAATGTTTTAAGTAAAGCTATTTGCCCATTATTATCCATGGGGTCATGGACGTTAAGGCATAGTTTTGTGATCAATGACATGATTGTGTTATGAACGACAGTTCAACATTCAGCATAAACTGCATTTACTTCTAAGGCATGCTGGTATCTATTGATTTGAAGTTGGGTAGGAAGACAGTCAGTTGCTCCAAGACCAGTTTCAGGGGCACAAGAAATAAATCATCAGAGGTATAAGTAACAAAAACAAGCTACTCATGTCAGGAATTGAGTTCAAACAATCTAACAAAAATATTAGTATCTATCAGGGCTAGGTTGATCTCCTCTGAGACCCTAAGATAGGTTCTGAAAAGGGGCTTCTATCAGGGATCATGAGATACCTCCACCTAGCAAACGGGGTTCGGCATTTAATTATTTTTTACACTTTCATTCCATGAGTATTAGTTTATATTTTTGTAGAATTTACATTTCCCCCCTAATACCTATATATGCAGAGCCTGCGCTAAGGATTTCAAATTATTAGTCAATAAATTAGCCAAATATAAAAAGTAATCGCCAATTTTCGAAAGTTTTCGCTAAATGCAAATCTTAACAATTTTTTAAGATTAATTTTTCTGCCATCGAAAACTCTTTTTTAGTTTGCTTCAGTCTTATATAATTTGGAACCAACTCTAATTGGTTATGCGAGACGTTTACCAAAAACTGCTGCAATCAAATAAAAAATACTGATTTGTTAAAAAAAAATGCATTTTGATGGATTGAGATTAATTTTAAAAAAATTTCTAGTGAAAAAATCATTCGACAAAACACATTTTTATTCACCAAATTTACGATTTTATCACATAGCATCAGTTTTTCATTTTTGAATGAATATTAATAATTAGAAGTATTTAATCTTCAAATACATTGCTGATTTTTTTCGGAAAAAAATTTATTGCTTTGAACACAAGCATTTATATAAAAATAATCATATCTGCCAACTACATAACTAAATATGTATGTAGCCCTTCGTTAGTCAACCGGCTGGGCAAGTGGCACTTCACTCAAAAAGGTTGTGCATGCACCCCTAATACAGATGGTTTATGTTGCAACTTATTTAGCTGTAATAATTTTTAATGAAATCTGTAATGGGTTATTCACCGTTACAGAACAGTGAAAAATAAATGTCAGCCCAGTAGCCAAAGAATATGCTTAAAATGAAGATAGCCAATGAATTTTGGCTGCAACTCACAGACGCGACGTCATATAAGGGTGAATCGACAAGAAAAAGGACTAGACATGCAATTGAAACTGCTGAAAATGATTGAGAAGTACCATCGTACAGACCTGGTGGATGCATTTATATGGATAATTTATATGGATAATTTATTACAAAACTTTAAAAACAATTAACTTGAAACTTTGTTTTTCTTACTTACTATGCTTCCAACTTGCAAAATGTTCAACCAATTTATTTCAAATTTTGACACAATGTTCCCTTAAAATATAGTTTTCATAGTATGCAGGGATTTTTTAATTGGGTTAACAAGTTCTGAGTAATCCATTTACTTATATTATGTCTTTTTTTCTTTTCAAAACACAACCACTTCGTACAAAAAAATATATATATATATTTCACACGCAACAAAAGCTACAATTATTTAGTTTAAAAAATCAAAACACAATCAAATTTTGGTGATGTTTCTTACGAGTACAGCAGGTAATGGGTAATATGAAAAATAAGTTATAAACATTGTATTATATAAGCACCAACCTTTTTATAAATTTTTTATTTGCAACAATGTAAAATGGAGATTAAGATAGGTACAGTTAGATAAAAAGAAATGTATAACATTAAGTTAATCCCAACCATTAGTTTAGTACTAAAAGAAATTACTTGAATACAGCTTTATATAATATTATAAAAAGGAAAATCTGCCAACTGAATGACTTGAAAGCTAAATGAAAAGTAGAATTATTTTAGAGATGCTTGAAAGGACTTCAGTAACAAAGGATATTAAATTTCTGTAGGGCCTAACCAAGGAAAATTGTGTAAAATTTCTTTCATTAGACAAAATCTCACTTCAATACTTTTATCCTGATACAGTTTTAAAAAAATAGTTTATAGTTTTTAACAATTTACCTTCCAGTTTACCTTATTTATCCTTTGATTTTTTTACAGAATTTGTTTCCCTTTGAAGTACTTTCTTAAAGTGTTAACTCCATATCTACCTTCTTGAACTTTTCACTGACTGTACTTATTTTATTTCTGAATACAAAGTCTCAGAGTGTTCATCAATCTTCTTACTGGTGGCAGCAAAGTTTGTATCAAGTCTTAATTTAAGCAATTAAGAAGTCTATTTTTTACTTTGAAAATGCTTAGAAACTGATCAAATAACCAGCAACAAATTAAACAAACCGTTTTCAAAGTTTGTTCATTCAGACTGTTGACTGTTCAATATCTTGGCTATAAATGTAGATTTACAGTCTTAAAATTACAACAGATGTATATATATCCTTGAAAACAGTCATGACATTACTTTTAAGCCGCATTTATTAACTTTTCATTAACAAATGCAGAAAGAATTGTGTGTCTGCTCTACCATCTCATCTTGATTTTTTGTCTTATCTTATAGTCATCTTTTGTCTTATCTTAAAGTCGTCTTCTGTTTTACGATATAGTCATCTTTATCATCTTATAGTTTGACATTGGCAGCAAATTTTCTTTTGTGTATACTGTTATTCTTTGGTTAAACAAGCTTAGAAAACTTATCCACCAATCCAAACAAGTTCTCTACTAGCGGCAGATTAGCAGTTGAATCAGAAACTACAGTAGAGTGCTGATTATCCGAACGTCAATTAATCAGATTGTCCAATTATCTGAATCCTTTTATAACCATGAGTCACCAAACTAAAAAGAGTTTTTTCGCAAACATGTTTATTGTCAAATCTGGAAAAAAGTACGAAGAATGATTTTTTTGTCTCCTGATGACCTTGAAATGAACCGATCATTCGTTGTGCCCACTTTCAATGTGGGTAGCAAAGTAATTTTTAGCAGGGGAACAGGTTTCTATTTTTCTCCCAAGAGAAAAAGTGAGGAGGTGAAACAAGTTTTGAAATGATCTCAGACTTAAAACACTTTTTGTCAGCGTAGGTGTTTTCAAACATGTCGAGTTAGTGAAAAGGAGTTGTGCTATCATAGCATAAAAATAAATGAGATTATTGAAAGATAAAAGAAAGACGAAAACGAAAACAGCATATCGTCTGAATACAGCAAAAGCACATCAGCTGTATCGATGTTGAAAAGAACGAAGATTATATTTAAAAAGAACAGCGAACAATTTTGAGGTTTGTTATCAGTCTAAAACAAAGAAAAAGGGCAGATGAATCGCAAAACTATTTTGAAGATGCAGATAAAGCATTATATCATTTGTTCTCGAAAAAACATTCATAAGGACAACCTCTTTCGGACGTCATGTTGTACGAAAAAGCACTGTTTTTCAATAAAGGAATAAATAGATACCAATATTTAAAATGAGTACCGGTTGGTCTTGGGAGCTTTAAATTGAGACACGGGTTTTGTGAAATCAAAGTCCAAGATGAAAAACTGCCAGCTTCAATTAAAAGCACAGGGAAATTTATTTCGGTAGGTAGGTATTTTATTTACATCGAAGTAGAGCTGCACAATGGGCTATTGGTGACGGTCTGGGAAACATCCTCGTGGATGATCCAAAGACATGCAGACATAATTTTGATTCCCTGCAGAGGGGATGGCACCCCTGCTTTGGTAACCTGACGACCTGCGCGCAAAGTTGAGCACTTTGCGGTAGAACAGTTTAATGAGGACAGATACCACTCACCCTTGGTCCCTACACAGGCCGATCAAAGTGGTCACGTCATCCCGCTTACTGACAGCAGACTGAACCGTGTCTTTACAATCAGTCCACAGTGAGGCGAAATTTATTCTGGAATTTTAAAATTTGATCCGTGCAAAAAATAAGACAAAATCATCTATAACACAGATGAAAACAGGTTCAACTGGCAGTCTTTGTCTAAGAAAACATTAGCATCAAGAAGGAGAAATATGCCCCAGAAATTAAAATAAACAAAAAAGAATAACAATGGGTAACTTTGATAATATTGCCTTTCATCAAAACAAAGATCTACTAGAATGTAAAAATAGAAAGTTGAAAGTCCTTTTTCTGGCACGGTAACCACCAATTACGATCTATGGATCAAAATGTAATGGAAACAGTGATAAAGCTGAGTACTACAGGGAGCGTAGCCAAATCTTTCAACAAAAAATAAGCACCCTTTAAATACTTTTTAAAAACTCAAAAAATATTTTTAAGCACTATATACATTAACAAAATGCAAAATAATCTTCACTTGACATGATCATAATAAAACAACTAAGTTTCTGACAAAGAACTCTTTTCTTGACTATATTAGCCATCCTAAAAAGATCGAGAGATTTTACTGTTCGATTTCAGATGGTGGAAAATGAAGGCTGAAATTGAGAATATCTTGCAAAATGTAGCAGAGTGCTAGAATCTAAACGCACTCAGCTCAGTAGACGCTCAAGCAGACTCGCAAGTATTTCATCAAACATGCTAAATGATTGGCGTTTTCATAGGCTATGGACCAATGGAAGGCCGAAACTGATTATGGTAGAATGAATTCTGAAAACTTTGAATAGAACAATGTGAAAAGTGCGCTTTTGCATAATATCGACATTGAAAATAGACATGGTAAAGAAACAAATTTTCATTTTCCATAAGGGAAAGCACTTTTTAAAAACAGTTAATAAATAAAGCACCTTTAAGGGTTTTTAAAAAACGAAAATCAAAAATAAGCACTTTTTAAAAATGCTGCGCACCATGTACTAAGAACATTGTGAGTCTAGTGCATTTTAAAATAAAAATAACACTTTTCCAGAAAAAATAAATGAAAACATGCCAACAAAACATACCTTTTCACAATCCTCAGGAACACTATATGTTAGATCTGTTTCCTCAAACCCAGTGGCACTCATTCTTTGGTCTAAGGAAGCGCCTGGACCAGGCGGCAAATCAGGAGAGTTCAAACAAGTTTGTATGAGAGCTTTTCCAGCCTCACTCGTAATCATAGGCTGCAGTTTACGCGTAGCAAATGTGTATACGTGACCAGTTTCACTGGCCACCAACAGCATTACTTGAGTGCCGGTTAACGTAGATAGCTCATAAGCCTAGAAAGAAAAATTCTTATTCTGATTTTAAAAAAACTATGAATAAATTTACTTTTATTACCAACAGGAAATAAAATAGAATTAATGCATATAAAATAGAAAACAATAAATTTAAAATAACCAACACTTACTATAAGTAAAAAGATACTTACCAAAAGATTAAAAAATATCATTTTACACTTAAAATATTTGATAATCCTTCTTAATGTAGAAATTATTCGAGTTATACAAGTATTAAGGGAATCTAACATCTTAAAGTTAAGCTAACTGTTTATTCAGCATAGTATAAAAGAAATAAAATAAAACGATGATCATATAAAAAAAAATAAACAGAGAAAAGGCTTCATATCTAGAAGTTCGGGTATAGCTTGTCTACGGTAAGAACTCCCCCCGCCACAAAGTCTGAGGCCGTCTGCTGATATGGAAACAAGAAAACTGCATTTCAGGGAGGGTAACTTCTCTTCACTCGAGGGCTAACACAGTAGACCAGTGTTCCCCAAAGTGTGGTACGAGTATTCTCAGGGGTACAGGAACAGTTTAGTGGGGGTACGCGTTCTTATGCGAAATATCTTGCAACAAACGAAAATTTAAAAAAATTTTACTTAAAAACAAAGCTAGCCATGAAAATTTACGATTGTGTATTTTTGTATTGGCTATTTTTTGCAGAGTTAACAGTTAATAATGAGTGGTGTCAACCACTAGCTGTGATTTTTAACTTTTGTGCAATTTTTTTATAGTAAAAAATAAATTCATTTTCTTAAGAGTGGTACACAGAGTTACAAAAAATTGAGAAATGGTACGCAAAAGTCATAACTTTGGGAAACACAGCAGTANTTGGCTATTTTTTGCAGAGTTAACAGTTAATAATGAGTGGTGTCAACCACCAGCTGTGATTTTTAACTTTTGTGCAATTTTTTATAGTAAAAAATAAATTCATTTTCTTAAGAGTGGTACACAGAGTTACGAAAAATTGAGAAATGTTACGCAAAAGTCATAACTTTGGGAAACACAGCAGTAGACCAAAGAAAAATATTCTCTCGCCAACTCGAGCCGAAACCTGTCCTAAACAGTGACCTCACACCCCTAGTTGAAATAGTTATAACTCGTTACCATAGTCACCGCCACGGGTCCAGACAAATGGGATGGAGAGTTCTTACTTTAGACAAACTATAGTCATACTGATCTGTTGCCAGATTACATAAATATATAAATACCAATCATTTTTCTTATTAACATACATCAATACTTTATTCCTTACATAATCTAGACTACTAAAAATTAAACCAGAGCAAAAGAATAATTTAAGTAAAACAGCCTTCATATCAGTTAAATAATTTGTAAAGTTAATGTTATATATGTGATTTACCATTTTTCATTCTTGCATATAATAGCAAGAGAACCAATTGGTTGCAAACACAAAAATGAATAAAAATCAACAACTATAATTAATTGCATTCCAAAATAAAAATATACCACATAATTCAAAGAAACAATTTGTTGAACATTTTCTCGTTTACAGTAAATAATGCTTTCTCTAATCTATATAAAGTAATTTTTTCAATAAAAAAGTGATATCACTGATTTTAATGCAGTTTGATTGTTTAAATATTGCTTATAAAAAATAAATAAAAATATTTTTTTTTGTTTACATTAGCATTACTTTTGTATGTTTTTTCTTTTTCTTTTCAGAATTCAACTCAGGAAAGTGTGTCAAACTTATTTCAATATTTTTAAATCAGAAAATTACGAGAAAGAAATTTATACACATCAAGGCAAATAAAATTTTTTAATTGAACAAAATTAAATAAAGAAGAATTTCCCCTGAGAAGTAATCCCACCTGGATATTCGCTATATTAGATATTTATTTTAAATAATTAAAACTTAATTTTCAAAATGCACGAACCTCAAGATCGTTGATTGGAATATTTCCGCATATCAAAAATTTAGTTAATTAAAAATTTAAATTTAGTAGTTTCACACAAAATCTTGTAAACATGACATGTATTCCTTCCAGCACAACCATGACATACATGTCTAGCAGACGACAACAACAATGGGATACAAGCGTGTCATCTAAAAAAGTTGGTGGGACACATACGTCACAGCCCTACCCAATTGACCAGAGTTAATTTTACTTCATTTGATTTACAAAAATTGTAATTTTTCATTTTATTAAGAAGAAAAAAACTGGTCTAGAAAGGGGAAAATCAAATCCTTTCATTTTCCTACCTAAATTCTCATTCACATGCAATAATTTATATATATATATATTTCAAAACTCTGATCTGTAAAAGATTGTTTGCTCTAGAAATTTCAATCTTTTTATTTTTCAATTTTTCTACAACTTGATAATTGTCATATTTTATTGAAACTAACAATTCAATAAAATATGACTAAGTGGAGATTTTGTTACAATTTTAGATTTGTTAAAAAATAATCATTTAATCGATGCAGTATATGTGTACCTCCTTCATTTATTTGGTTGAAATAACAAGAGTTCCATATATTTTTAAAATGATGATAAGATCTGAAAATTTCAAATAATGCATGGCTCGTCGTAAATCCACAAGATATTTCGATCTTTTTTTTGGCAATTATTGCTATCAATTTCAATATGGCTTATTAAAATCCTGATGTCTATCATTGCCTACTTATTACTATTGATATTCTCTCAAAGTTCCTTTTAAAATCCTGATGTTATGACATGCAAATAATTATGTGCAATGTTATTATGACAGGAATTTAAGAAGTAATCACTTTTTGATACGCTCGATTTGAGCTTCATGATTCATGGGGTGTTTCTATCACATTTTTGATAGCTATGGCTGTAAATTTTTACAAGTTTTTTTTTTTTAAAAAATATCTTTATATTTTTCATACAATGTTATGTGCTCAAGTATACAATGTATACTTGAAGTTGAACATTTATTTAGTAGTGTTTTCTAAAATTTCACCATTTATTCGAATTTTTTGCAGTCGAACGATTTCCATGTGGATTTTAAAATTTCAGTTTTCATATGTTACTACGACATGCAAAATTCGAATCCAGCATTTAAGTAATTGCTTTTTGATATGTTCGATTTGCTTTGATAGTGTCAAAATGCATGCTCAGTTTTATTGTTTTTTTTTACTATTGGTTTTCAAACATCCCTATTTATTTCACACAATATGGAAATACGAATTGCGCATTTCAATATTCTATCATTCTTTTTCAATTGATATTATGGAAGTTATTGCTATTGATTTCCACACAAAATTTTTAAAATCCAATACTTTTAATACGATATTTATTAAAACACACAAATCTTGAAGCATGCATTTGAGTAACAAATTTTTGATAAGATTCATTTACACGAGTTACTGCCACAGATTTCCCATTTTTTAAAATATGTTTTTTTAATTAAAGTGACAATGACTGGCAAAATGTAAGAAAAAAAAGGAATTAGTACCCCCTCCCCTCCCAAAAAAAATGCGAGTATGTCACCCATAATTTTACAATACATTTTTTTTCATATGCTAAGAAAAAAAATTAGTTTTACAACAGAAATACAAATATATATAGATATTCAATTTTATTTTATATCTGCAGACCTTTTTATAAGCTCAAAGCTTTTCAATTATTATAAATTGGTCACAAATATATAAATTACTTTGATAAATATATTGCAGAAAGATATTAGTGCTAAAGGAATTTCTCGCAGAAAGCTAGACTAAATTCTGCCACAGGGAATAACTCTATTATCAGTTTTTATGGATGCATTTCAAGGGATTCTGATTAAATCTTGCAACCTTGCTAAAAAAAATTATACAATGTATAAAAAATCATTCACTTAGACATAGTGTGCAGCTGGCACTCTTTTTGTTCTTAAAAACTTTATTTTAAATTTTATACATACATTAACACATAAATACAATTACATATATGCAGGGTATCTGCTACATTTTANAGGATAACTGCTACATTTCAGATTTTCAAACTTAAGACTTTCCATGTGAATTCCAAGAATTTTCCATGACTTACAGTTTTCTCTGACAAAAACAACAATAAATTTAAAAAAGCATTATAATAACATTAATTGAAATGATATAGGTATAACTAAAACTGTTATACTCTGCATCTTCATACTTATAGATTTTAAAAAGAGAGTAAAGAAAGCATTGAAGCAATAAAATAGCTGAAAAAAAATACAAAAGCAAATTTTTTTTTCTTCTTTTTTTCTGCAGAATTATATTCTAAAGATACTTTTCTTGTTCATCGGAAAGGAAAGAAATACTCCTGATTTTTCTATTCTCATTTCAGAATATAAAAAAATTTGCAAAATGACTGGCTTGCTCCAGCTAGAATTTTAAATCGATAAAATTCCAAAAATAATTAACAAAAATTCTGAAATCAGAAAAGTTTACAAGATAATTCACTCTAAAACTGATGTTTTCTCATTCATTTTTTGAAAAAATGCCATAATTTTTAAAGAACACTAAAAAAACATTTTATATTTTAATAGAATATGACTCTGAGTGGGGATTTCGTTACAAATTCAGATATTCGGAACACCATGAAATTGGGGAGGGGTAAATTCTATTTTAAAAATTAGATTTTTCGGCAACCTAAATCCATTTTATGACAAATTTTGTTCAATACCGATATTTATGACTTTCCATGATTTCTCATGACTTTGCAGGTGAGCAGATACCCTGTATATGCATGCAAAAAATAAATATGAATATACACATAAAATTTAAAATAAACGAACTGTTTTCTAAAAACAAAACATATGCCCTCCCTCATGCTACACCTATAGTCATTCAAACTATCCAAAAACTTACTTAAAATGCAACTAATAATAGTTCTCAATCTTATTTTTTTTTTTTAAAGTGAAAATAGGCTACCACATTGACAGGGTTAGCTAGTTTTATTAAAAACAATAAAAGGCAGTGAGTATGCCAACAAAAGGAAAATAAACATTTTAGTGATTAAAGAAAAAATTTTAAATAATAATTTATGAAAAAAATATTCTGATAATAGCACACTGATGAAGCAAAGTAAAACAAACTCATCCTTTTGTTGGAAATACTTTTTTACCACTAAGCAAAGGGACACTAGAAAAGAAAAAAACAAAAGGTAGAACTATAAGCTATTCCTGGTGAGCAAGCAACAGTAATATTTTTTAAAAATAGCTCTTGTTGAGCACAAGTAACTTTTTCTTAATTTATTATAACAAGAACCATACTCTTCTTGGGGAGATTTCCATATCGTGATCTGTGGCAGAATAATCGCAAAATCTTGGCAACTTCTGGACGAGAAACTAAAAAAAAACATCACAAGAAAGGGACCAACTCGAAAGGTATAACTCGTAGCCACACCCGGGCAAACATCTATGTATTTCTTTACTAGTTTCTTTTTAAAAACATGAAAAAAGAAAATTTAACAGTCTTCTAAATTATTAAAAATAAAAAATAATAATAATTATGAGATAGTGAAATAAAATCTAGATAATGATATGAATGTATTGAATGATAAATCACATCAGGATCAATATTAGCGTAAAAAGTCTAACTTAGCTTAGTTGCAACAAATAATTCAATGAGCTACATTAAAAAACAGGTATTTTGATGGCTAATTAGAATATTGTGAAATGCATGATAAAATCATGTCTAGATCTAAGTAAGTAAAAAAACTGTTAGCTTCTCACAGTTTCAATAAGTCACTGAATACAACAATGAGTGATGAAATGAGTTCAGGATCAAAATTAAAATTCATTGATTAGCTTTAAAATATAATTCAAAAAGCCATTGCAAAGTGTACAACTGTTAACAAATGCCCATGAGTAGTTTGAGAACTAAAAAAAAATCAAGATAATATTACGCAAGCATGCTCTACCTCAACCACTGTTACAATTCGTTAACATTGCACAATATTCAAATATAGTTTTATTACTGAAACACATGGTTGAGTATATTTTGATAACAAATAAAATTTACAAAATAATGTGCAATGAATGATAAATCAAGATCAGGATTAAAGTTTTAGTTCATTAACTTTATAACTTTGAAATATGAGACTACAAATATGAGATATAACTATAAACACATGGTAATGAGTAGCTAGAGGGATATCATAATTTAAAGAATATTTTGTAGTGTGTGATAAAATTAGCCCAGGATCAAAGTAAAAATTCATTGAATTCACAGAATAACTCCAAAGTATAATTCAATGAGCCATTGGATTCTTTTCAAATATTCAAACACATGGTGAATTGCATTTTGATTGCAAATGAAATTTACAAAATACGGTATAAAAGAATGATAAAATTACGTCAGGGTCAAAGTTGAAATTCATTAACTTCGCATAATTTCAAAATATAATCCAATGAGCCATTGGAATTTGAACAGATGTAAACACATGGTACTGAGTTTTTGGATTGCACAACAGAATCCTGAAATATTATGCAATGTTTGACGAAATCATGTCAGGTTTAAGTGCAAATTCATAAAAATTCACACAATCATTTAAATTTATAATCCTAAGAGCCACTGGCTCATACACGTTAACTTACCTTCTTCATAATCCCAGTCTTTCTTTTACTGAAGGTCGTATAACGTCGAAGTTTGTTATCAATAAACTCCATTTTTATTTTGACTCGTCCTTTTGTTTTTTTCCCATTTGCGGGTAAGGATTTTTTGGACGTCCCAGATGTTGATGATCCATCCCTGGACCCATAGTTATCGCGATGGCCATTGGAGTAATTATCACTATTCATATCTCCCAAAACCATGGGCTCTAATTCACACGAATCACTTAGTTGTTGCTGATGTATTTGCAAATTGATATCTTTAATCCGATCTTTGCATGAAGTTTGCATAACTAGTAAATAAACAACAAAATAAATAGTTTAACCCTTCCACCTAATCATATTGACACATAGACAATAAAAGTATTTCGTCACTCATTATTTCAGTCCACACCGTTATTTTAAGTGTTAAAGAGGAGCCAAGTGAAGAAAGCCGCGATAGAATACATCTACACGAAAGAAAGAAGATAGTTCTTATTGATAACAACGTTTCATCTACACAAGTTCAATAAAAGTAATGACACCCTCTTATTTTGCTCAATTTTCTTGACCACAATAAAGTTCTGTAGAGCAGTCAACTTGCGCCTCAAATGTTTATAGTCTACTAAGGGGACATCGGCATCTCACGTGGTGCTGGGAGCGGTCGAACCATATATGGTAAACGGGGTCTCCAAATTTGGAATGGGGGATACCATATATGGAACGAACGAATCAGAAACTACAACTTCTATGACTGTTCATTTTACGAATTAATTGTGCTGACCAATAAGAATCTTTTAGCTAGTCAGCAAAACACCTTCTATGGAAAAATAATAATAATAAAAAATAATAATGTTTCGAAATTAAAGACACAAATAAGTAGCATCTTTTATCGAAGATTTGAGTAAAAAATTCCTTAATATTTTGAAAATCTATAGTGCAAGAAGATGTAATTCAACTTCAAGAATAGTTTTTTTTTAAATGTTTATTTATTTTATTATGAAAATATTAAAATCATTAATTAATTTATTTATTATTTGAAGTAAATCGTAAAACTATTTACGTAGCTTTTTTTTTATTTTTCAAAGTTTTTTTAAAACGATAAAAGCATTACTTGAAAGAAAAAAATATAATAATATTTCAGGAAAAAAATAAATAAACAGATGTTACTATTTCGGGACCAAATTTTTTTAACGAAAGACATTAAAAAAAAGTAATGAGAAATAGAAGATGCTTAGAAATAAAAGTATTTTTATTTATAAACTGGAAACTTAAAAATGCTAATGCGAGATTTAAAAACGCTAAAAAGATTTTGATTAAAATATAAAAAAGTAATGCTATTAGAACTGGACTAGCATTTATTAAAAAATATGTACTATATAAATATTCACGAACCTAAAAATATTATTTCTTTTAACGGCAAATAAATTAATATAAAAATAAAAAAGCAGAAATTTTAAGATATAAAAATTTAAACTGCTGACCTAGCTTTTTTTATGCTTAGAGTTAATTAAATGGGCACTGCAAATAATTCAATTACTGTAAAAAATAAAATAAAATTATGAACCTGACAACAATATTTTTTAGGCATGTATAACAAAAACAAATAAATCAAAATAAGAATATGTCTAGTTAAATTTAACTTACATGATGAGTAGAAAAATACTCAGTTAAAAAATTATTACAATAATTTTTCTTGAAATCATTTAAATTAAACTGATTGTACACGTTAAATTTTTTAGCGATTTTTTTTTTATAAAAAGAAGAAGAAAAAAACTCAGTGTAACCTTAAAAATATCTTTCTGATCTGAATGCTAAAAATAGCTTATTAAAAAAATCTTCTATTGAAGCGTTTTTTTGTTTTAAAGTTGCAACGATAGATGGCAGAGTTTCGTAAATGATATAAGACGAACTTTTGTCTTTCCTATCGCTTTTTTCAAATTATTTAGAAAGCAGGATGCGTTAGCGATCAAGTAATGTAAGCGTGGCTCGTTCCATCTGGGTTGGATGAGTAGAGAAAAATTCGAATCGTTATAAAATCGAGAGAAAAAAATATATATAATAACATATATATATATATTAGTATAGATGGGCTGTTCAAGTAATACGTAAACATCCAAGTGCAAGTGCAGGAGGGGGGTTGGGATTTGTTCAGTTTATTCTGTCAAAGGAGTATGAGCAATATATAAAGGAGTATGAGCAAGCATTTATTAAAATCCTTTTACATACAAAATTTTCTCATAGAACAAAATAAAAAGCGTAGCACAAAATTACAAACTTCAAATATGGAACAAGAGTTATATTTTGGGAAAGAAAAAGAGGAAAAAAATTTCAGAAGCCAAGATTATAGACCACAAAAGGAAAACACTCCAGATTTTTACAGAAAATTCTACTTAAAATGTTATAAAATGAATTAAAGCATACATTTTATTTGATGCAAATTAACAAGTTTTTATTTACATTTAATCCAAAAACTAGTTTATTATACAGTAAAAGTGAAAACAAAAAACTAGTGGAGGGTTATGTAATTCTTACATAAGCGTGGGAGCAGGTTTCATTTTTGCTCACAGTGGTGATTCCAAAATTTAAAAAATAATGACCGAGTTTTTTAGAGTTTTTTTAGATTCAGAAACACGGTAAATTTTACCATATTCTAGCAATCCTGACCATACCTTTTTTCAAGTTATATTTAGTTAAAGAAGTATATCCTAGTAAATATTTGAAAAACCTAGGAATAAAATTTTAAAAAAACAGAACAACATTTTTTTGTTGCTGTAATTATTAGTTTAAAAAATTACCTTAGAAATCGAGAAAAATCGAATTTTCAGAATTCTACCGATTTTGTATTGAGGTACTCTACTAAAAACGTAAAGTTTCTAGAGACTTTTCCTAACCAGGCGTTATATAGTCTGTCTAAAGTTATATAGTTTGTCTTTAGTAGGAACTCCCCTAGCCATTTGTCTGGACCCGTAGCAGTGACTATGGTAATGAGGTATAGCTATTTCAAGTAGGGGTGTGGGGTCATTGTCGGCGAGAGAAAGGAAATTTTTTTATTTGGTCTATTATGTTAACTCTAGAATGAATAGAAACTGTCGTTCCTGAAATGCATTATTCTTGTTTCCATAACAGCAGACGGTCTCAGACTATGTGGCTGGGGAGTTCTTACCATAGACAAACTATAACTACCCCAGTGTTGGCCATAAAGTCCTTACTTAAGACAGAGCTAATGATTAATGTTATAAAGAAGAATTTATGCAATAAGACTCCGAAGTTATAACTTTTGGCATGATTTTAACTCAAAACGCAAGCTGAAAACACAGCGGTGTTTTATACAGTGTATCCGTGATATTCACCATAATCAATAATAATCAATGACTTATCAGCCGAGCAGCGGTAGCTCAAGTTATGGAGCATTCACCTTTCAATGAGAGATACCAAGTTCAAATGCCAGCGATGGCTGGTCGATACGCATTACGCACCCGGTTCGCACCTACCACAGTGCTGAAGTAAAATATCCTCAGTGGTAGACGGATCCTTGGGTTAGAATCAGGGATCCGGGGGTCACCAAAGGTTAGAATACCCTAGCTGTCAGACTAACCTTGGGAGGTTTTCGTGTTTTTCCTCTCCATGTAACTCAAATGCGGCTTAGTTCCACGAAGGCAAATTTTTCAAAATACTTGATCCAGGAGTTCCCTTGTCTTCTAAAGTTCAACGACTGTTATAAAATGAAATAAAATGACTTTTCTCTCTAGTAAATGGAACTATCGAGGAGGATCAAACTCTCCTTCCGAAGGCCTACGGGTGATCACTTTGGAGACCATCAACAATCTTCAAATTACTGGTTATAAAGATAACTCGCTTTCTGACTTTACTAACCAATCAAAGGAAGTAACTATAAACAAATTAAGGTGCCCATAACCAAAGGAAACATTTATAGAAAAACAAGTGGGCGTAAAAGCTGTACATATAAATTGACCCCCTCCCCTAAATATAATATTCCCATAATACCCATAAACCATAATACCCATAATATTCAAACTGAGTCAGATATATTATAATATAACAGACTATACTATCACACCAAAGGAAGAATTACACGCAAATTAGGGGGCCCACAATGTGTCATAATATGTGAGTATAGATATATAGAATGATTTTATGACTATATATACGCATAGGCGTAGCGTGAAAGAAACATTTTAAAGAGGCAAGCGATTTCTTTTTCTTTTTATTAAATTTTTTTTTCAGAATATAATTACTAAAACTCTAAAATAAATATACACCGAAAATTTTTATAAATGTCTCTACATTTAGGAGTAATTTTCTGTATTTAACAGAGGAGTTAATATATCTTCAATATAAAAACTTTCGTAGGGCATGAGTGATTCTGTAGTGTATTCAGAGCATATTCTGAAAAAATGGGAAGTCCGAATTTTTAGTCCGAATTCTTAAAATTAAAAAAAGCGATGACAAAATAAACGGACCACCCTGAATAAATTTTGATCTTAATCGCTCAAGCGGAGGTCCTCAAACATGTTAATTAATTAGTGCAGGGGATATTTCAAATTACGAAATCAGACACAAAAATGTACTTTTTTTGAATAAACATACCGTTTTTTTTGGGGGGGGGGGTTGGTTTTTTTCTGGGAAATAAGGTTTCTATACTTTGGTCAGGAAAGCGAACAAAAATAACTTTTAGCTTTTTTTATTTATTTAATATTAGTCGACGAAATTTTGAATTTTTAGACAATTTCTTATGTTACTTTGAAGAGTGTATAATGTTACATGGCTAATCTTGCTCAAAGTCGCCGTGGCTGGAGGCAGCTAATTGAGAAAGCCTTGGCCTCCACTAGGATGTAGTGCTGACGAAGAAGAAGAAGAATGTTACATGGCAAAATACGAAATTTGAGAGAAATCGGTCGAATTGTTCCTGAGAAATCAAATATTAAATATAAGACATTTTTAAAATTCGATTTCTCAGGATCTGTTCAACTAATTTCGCACAAATTTCGTATTTTGCCATGTAAAGTTACATTCTTTAAAATGATGTAAATAAATTGTTTACCTTACAATTCAATATTTTTTTCAACTATTTCATAAAAAATAATAAATATTTACTAAAAATTATTTTTTTCGCAGCATTATCTTTGGAGAAACGAATTTCATAATTGTGTACAAAAATGTTTCAATTCACTTAAAATGTTATCAAGATATGGCGAAATTCGAAAAAAGTAAAATTAACATTAAGGGGTTCTAACTTTAGATCGCTCTTCTGGTCAGACAATGGTGACCGTAATTCCCAGATTGAGATTACCCTTATATTTTGAGAGTCAGAAATCCAAATCCATCATAAAAAATTTATAGACCCTGACCAAATTATTAGACACACTATAAGATTCGACGTAAAATCTAATTATCAGGTGATACTATACAGCTTTATTGTTTTTATACGACTGAAACCGGTTTGCACTTGTTTACGCTCGTGTATCAATTGGTTAAATTAGACGATATATTATATAAATATAGAATATTTATTATATCAGATATTATATTAGTATAGTATAATAATTAGACCAAATTATAAGACGCACTGTATTTTCTTACTAATGACATGTTTTGCACGAGTTTATAGGCAATACTTTTATATTTAAACATACATGTAATGAGTTTTTATTCAGGAGCTTT